TATATATATATATATACACACACACACACACACACAGTATCATACAGTAAATTACTTATATCATAGAGTAAAACCCTAAAATACAAAACACTAAAATATAAATCCAAGATTTTCTGTGTGATCTTACACCTTTGGACCCCAAGACAGTATTTATTTATTTTTTCTTCTTCTTCTTCTTCGTTCATGCTTGAAAAATCATCTGGATTTGTTTTCACCTTTTCCAGGTCTGTATCCAGTCTCAGCCGTGATATTGAGTAATCGCTTTCAGAGATAAACCCCTAAGCCCATGACATCCAATATTACAGTTTGTGTCTTTCCTGCAGGACTTATGAATTTGGGCAGTGTTCAAAATGTGTTTTGTATCAACATCTGGCACCTATGAACAGGAATTAACCATGTTATGAAGACACGGATATGGTAAATATACCCAACGGGCAAAACCTCTCAGCAGGATTCAGAAGTTTTCTCTCAGTGTGTTAAACTGCGAGAAAACTTTCAAACTCTACACAGCAGAAGCAAACACATGGAGAATGTAAAGGACTGAAGAGTGTGTGATTGAATTGTAATAGTTATTGATCACAGCATTAAAAAAAATGTATCACAAAAGAACAAACATTGATCTGTGAAGTGTGTTGATGGCCAAAGATAACTGTTTTCCCTCATGGCTGTACGAGGCCGACAAACCGTCCAGCAGGGACAGCGAGATAACTTGAATCAAGGATGTTCAGATAAAGTATGTGACCCTCGAGGCATGAATTACTGAACAAACCTCGGTCACGATTTAACAAAGGACACTATAAACAAGTTAGCAGATGATTTAGCAGAACCACTTATGGTCAAAGAAGGAAATGGTGTAGGACAAAACAGACAGTATTTATAGCGGGAGTAAGATAAAGTCGAATCTGCTCGGATTTGAGACGTAAATGAGCAGCTCAAACATTCTCCAAAATATCTACTTTTGTGCTTGATCTAAGAATAAATGTAATGCAGGTGCAGAACGACATGAGAGTGAGGAATTTTCTTTTTCATATTTGGGTAAACTATACCTTTTTGTTTTTAAAATGTTTTGAAAACAAATAATAACAAACATACACATTTAACAATAATAGTAGTAGTAGTAGTAGTAGTATTTTCTCAAATACAGAAGTAGGGTCCAAACGTCTGAGACCTCTAGTAAAAATATTCTATTATTTTTTTCCCCTAATTTAATACAAAACTTTATTTATAAATTACATTAAATTCATCATAACAATCAATAAAAAAAACAGACTCATGTGAATATTATTTCTTCTTAAAACTTTAAAATAATTTAATGCAAATTTGTGATGACAAATTATATTATTGGCATAGCAATTACAAAACACTTACAAAATAGATTATTATAATTCTTAATATTTTCTAAAATTCTAAAAATAAAAATTCTAAAACCTAGTAAAAAAATATATATATATAATAATAATATATACACACGCACACACTGTACAGTAAATCTTAACACGCTGCCTCTAACTCAATGACCAAATGTACTGAAAACAACAATTTCCACAATCTTCCTCTGTGTTTTAGTGTAACATTTTGATTTGTAAAACAAAAAAGTGAATATTTTACTGATGCTACTGAATTCTGAACCCTTGTTTCTGCTTTCCCTTCACATCACACTAAACTAAAAAGAGGCAATAAACACACCATTTTTGTATACAGGAGCACTTCTTGTTTTCATGTGTCCTTAGAAAGAAGAGAAACATGTTGCTCAGGAAGATTTTAAGCTTATTGCTTAAAGTATTTTTATATTTTTAGATGGGTCTATGAGTATGTGTCAATTTTTTCTATTTTTTTTCTTTAACACTTTCGAAAATAAAGCAGGGCCAAAATGTCTGACAAAACTATTAATTATTAGCATAACAATGAGCAAAAACAACAAATAAATAATTAATTAATTTTAAAATATATAAATAATAATACCTTTTCTTAAACTTAAAAAATAAAATAAAAGTAGGGTCCAGAAGTCTAAATAAATGAATAAAACAATATCTAAATCTGAAACTGCGATAAAAAAAAAAAAATAATAATAATAATAATAAAATGTTTTTTTAAAAAGTTACAATTGAACTATTAATTTTTTTCTTAAACACAAAACATAAAAACATACTCATCGTGGGAGAAAAATAGCGTTTCCTCAGATTTAAGAAGGACTTCAAGTCTGTCTATGTAAAAGAGCAGCTCAAACATTCCTCAAAGTATCTATTTTTGTGCTTGGCGTAAGAATAAATCTACTGTAATGCATTTTCTGAACAATATTAGAGAAAATGAAAACTGAATTCTCATATTTGGTTAAACTATACCTTTTTTTATCAATAACTGAAAACCAGGAATAGAAGACTCCCTGCATTTCTACCATCTTTCAATGTTGCTGCAAAAGGACTGCAGGTGTTTGAATAACCTTTGAAGGTCAGGTTGAGCTGTTTTATGAAGCTTTGAACGAAGGCAAGCAAACTGGAACATAAAGCCGAACAGGTGCGGATTTTAATTCTGACAGAGTAACAGACCACAAGTTTGGTTGTTTACCGATATTATGCATATCAGTGTAGAAATAGTAACAGGCTAAAATATGAAACGAACACAGTGTGGTGATATAAATGAATGATGTGTCAGTTGGCGACAATAGCTAGTTCGTCACAGTTTAGCTATGCCTGAAGTTTGTTTGGGTCTCATTTCTACCAATTTTGTTATTAAAATTTCAGTGTTTGGTACTGTAGGTGTATTTTGAAGCCTGCTAATGAGAACGTTTCCATCTGAGTGTCATCTTGGGAGTCTTGCCAAATAGTCAATGTCGTTGATCTTAACGATCTATTCATCTTCAGAGGGTGTAAAATGTGTGAAACCTTTTTATTTTATTTATTATTATTTCTCGTTTTTAGCCTGTAAGTCTCGCTATTCAGAGCTACTTAATTACAGAAGGAGTTAGGCTTCCCCCCCGCGTTACACTTTCCAGACAATTAATTAGTTCCCTCAAGATGTCATTTTGAAATTCCAGGTTTGAAAGCGACCTTGTACTGAAGGCGCCTTTGAAGACCGAATGGAGTTCAAATCGTAAATAGTCAAGAAAAGTGAGCATTTATTTTGTGACTTTTTTAAAATATAATTTCGAAAATGATTGTTAAGTCTCTCATGACAGCAACCTGGGAACTAATTGGTCGAATGTTAATTAGCAGTTCTTATAAAAAATTATTTTTGCAACTTGTTGCCACAAAAAGAATAACAAAAAATATTAAAATTATTCATCATATTAACAGGAAATATTAAGCATAATAATACAATAATAATATAACAATCTACTTTTATAGAAGGAAAGAAAGAAAGAAAGAAAGAAAGAAAGAAAGAAAGAATAGATTTTATGTAGTATTTAGGCTTTTTTAATTAATAGAAAAAAAAAAATTTCATTACCAGTAAATATTAAAATATAATATTTATTAGATATTTTACTATATATTATATATTTTTATTATTTTAGTTATACTTATTTATTTATTCGTAGTTATATATATATATATAGAGAGAGCGAGAGAGAGAGAGAGAGAGAGAGAAATATAGAAATTATAGGTTTTACATATTTTTTGTACAAAAAAAACATTTTCATTACAAATAGCACATGAAACCTATAAATTAAATCAATACAAACCTTAATAAAAAATAATCAAATAAAATATTGTATTATATAGTCATAACATTAGTATATTAGTGTAATATTGTATTTTTATAGATTTAAATTATAGGTTGTATGTACTATTTGTACTATATATACGCCAATATAACAAAAAAATAATATTAAAAAGAATAATCATTGCTTACATAGTCTTTTTGTGTTTTTGTTACTATAAAATAGTAAGCATAATATAATATAATATAATAATATTTTAATTAAAAGTATATATTTAATATTTACAGATTTAATTATTTTTATATATTTTTACAAAATACTTTTTAATATATATTGTAATACAAATAGTACATAAAACCTATCATTTAAATCAATTAAAAATTAATAAATAAATAATCTTGAATTATATCCTAAAATGTTAAGTCTGTCTGAAAGCCACAGGAATGAATCCACCCCAAAAATCCGGAATTCCCTTTGACAGATAAGACGACTGTAAATTACAAGCTGGCACGAACTCTCCTTCCCCCTTCCCTACTCTCCCAAACACTTGTCATTGATTTTCTCTGAATTCTTCTTTTAGAGATTAGATTAGAAAATTGTATTACCCACAAAGGGGAGCTTTGTCTGTAGGCTATCTAAATTAAATCGACCGCTGCCTGTTGGCGAAATGTGGAAAAAATTGTCTCCAGCCCTTTTATCAAGTGGCACAATATGGCTCCGACAACACGTTGTGACATAAACACAGCATCTTTACTGCGATATTGATGTTTCGGATTACGCATTTATCCCCATCTCAGGAAAACCCCCAAAGGAGGAGACAGCTTGGACGAAGTCTTCTAGAGATTTAGACCGCAGGATATGGTTCAATCTAAAAGTAAATTAGATGCCGGATCCTTCCAGGAGGTGTAAACTTGACCGACTCGGTCATTCGCAATCGACGACCCAAAGCGAGATGCGGAAACGTTCACGAAGGACTCGAGCTCACTGGGCCGAAACAGATGTGTGTCATGTGTAAATCCCACCAAGTGCATGATGAATTATGTGGGCGAACCTAGTTTCGTTTCTGCGCAGTCGCTCCGACCGGAGGGAACGTGTGACATGGACCCGTACCGGTGGGAAATTATATGAGAGGGGGGTGTCATGTAAGACTACTTCTCGTCTCAAATTCTCCGTTGGCGCTAGCTTTGAGCGCCAGTAGCCTACAGCGAGCAACGTGTCTCCCAGCGGTGGGGCCGCTTGGCGAGGTTGTTCCGGATGGCTGGGCGCATATATGGGGCCGTCCATGTAGGACAGGGCTCCAGAGTGAAGCTCACCCGAGCAGGTGTGGTTGGACTCATCCTCGTTGCTGCCGCAGTCGTCGGTGCCGTCACACAGCCATCTCTTCGGGATACAGCGGTTGTTCAGGCATTTAAATTGGTCCGCTGGGCAGCTGCGATTGGCTGAGGAGAAACAAACGGCCTGTCAATTGGTAACACAAATTCAACTGAAAGCATCTGGGTGACCAAATGTTTTGCGATGTGTCATACTAACATACCGTGGCATACTGTATCCCACAATGCAATGTGCTCAACTTGATGTTTCTTTTCAAAGTAAGGTGCATCAACTATGATTCTTAACCCTATAATGCCTTCTGTATCACATTTGAAATGAAAATGTCTAAGGCTTATAAATGATTAATAATCAGAAATTATAGGTTTTATATATTATTTGTACTATATATAGGTCTTTTTTTTTTCAAAAGAAAAAAAAAACTATTACACAGAATAAACAATACTAAAATGTACTATTCATCATTTCATTATCATTAAATATTAAGAATAATATAATATAATGTAATATAATTAGTGCTGTCAAACGATTAATCGCGATTAATCGCATACAAAATAAAAGTTTTGTTTGCATAATATATGTGTGTGTACTGTGTATATTTATTATGTATATATAAATAGACACAAATGAAAATATTTACATGCATTTACATGTCTATATTTATATTCATATAATTTATATTATAAATAAATATATTTAATATATAAACATAACATATTTTCTGAAATATATACATGCATGTGTGTGTACTTATATATACATAATAAATATACACAGCACACATACATATATTATGTAAACAAAAATTTTCATTTTGGATGCGATTAATCGCGATTAATCATTTGACGGCACTAAATATATAAATACAATATAATATAACAATGTGTATATATATTTATTAAATATAAATGTAAATGATTATTTTACACATTAACATTATTATTGGTTTTAATCACTATTTGTATATTTTTCTTTTCATTTTTATTACAGAGCACATAAAACCCATAATTTACATCAATAAAAACCTTAAATAAAATATTGTATTATATACAGTTCTTGTATTATATACAGTTATATTAGTATTTGTGTGTGTACATTTTTATAGATCATTTTTATATATAGTTTTCCATTTTCTATTATGGACACAGTCTTTGTTTCTGTAGGTTCGTGGTTGGACTACAAAGGTGCAAGAAGACCTACAGCAGAGGTGTGGATCTTCATCGCTGCCATCTGAGCAGTCATCATCCCCATCACACTTCCACGAGAGCTGAATGCAACGCTGGTTCTGGCACTGAAACTCCGCTGGGCCGCAGCGCTTTGTCTTAGTGACCTCTGATGGGGCTGAAAAGGGCAGGAACAAGATGTTAGAGAAAGCACACACATACACAGCCTCTTCTCTCTGTCTCTTACACACATACACACACCAGGGTTATTATCGCTAACTAAAACCAAAACCATTTAAATAAATAAATAAAACTTGATTAAAAAAAACTATAAATACATATTTTATAAAAGTCTGACAAAACACAACAAAATTACTAAAACTTTAACTAAAATTGAAAAATGAAAACAGAAAATATAATAATTATTATACAAAACTATAATAGTTATTACACTAAACACTGGCACACACACCATTTCTGAATTGAGGTTATTTTATTATTATTATTATTATTATTATTATTATTATTATTATTATTATTATTAAAAGTCTAAAAGGTCCAAATATTATTATTATTATTATTATTATTATTATTATTATTATTATTATTATTATTATTATTATTATCATTATTATTAAAGGTCCAAAAGTTTGAGGCCACTAGTTTAATTTAAGACAAAAAAAAGAAATATTACAAATTATCAGCATTAAAAAAATAAAACTTTTTAAAAAAAAACATTTTTAGTATATACCCCTTAAAATAGCGCAGTACCTAAATGTTTTAATTACACGTTGTTGTTTTTTTTTATCCTAAAAAACATATTTTGATGTTTAATGCTAAATAAAATTAGTAGCATTGTTTAAACAAATATGTTTTAATAACAGACTTGAAGATTATCACAATAATTAGTGAATTACTGATGTAAAAACAAAAAAAGTTCTGTTGCATTAACTTTATCTGAATGGTACATTTCTTTAAATTAGAATTAAGTCAATTCTACTAATGACACATAAAATAAAATTTAGCAAAACTGGAAGTCATGGAGTCATTTATGCCGTAAATTGAATCCACATGAGTTTACAATGGATTTAAGGCCAAGCCACACGCAAACACAAGCACAGTTACAGCCAAACCGCAGGTTGAGCGGAGACATTTACATCCCCCACTGGAAATGGAAATCAATGGACATATTCAGCTTAACATAAACATATCTGATCTGTTGTCATATTTTCCACAAACCACCACCATTATTGACTAGCCTGCGGGTGCCAATACAAAATCTGCATATTCTGCTATACCACATACCACTTGTAAATCCCAGAATAACAATCAATTACATCAGCTCTAACCACACATGATGCAACAAGTTTTCAGTCGCCAGTAATATCTCTGTCGCTCATATTGTGCAAATTATTGCTCATATATCGTATTATGCCTGGATAATGATTACATACGACTAATAGAAGCTTACATGAACAGGTAATGTTATCTTTCTCCAAATGTTGGCCGTCTGCACAGGCGCACATGCGACCTGCAGGCGTAGCAAGGCATAGAGCCGAAGAGCCGCAGCCACCGTGATTTGCCGAACACTGGTTATTACCTGAAGAAAAACACAAAGAAAGATAAATGTGATATTTAATGCAGTTTGGAGACATTATACATGGTTGAAGATGTCAAATAAACCATAATTTTCATATTATGTTTGTGTTCAAAATGTGTTGGAGAAGCTGCATTAGTTAGTTAGCTACACTAAAAGCTACAAACAAAATGTATACATACAAACTACAGTATCCACCCGGAGCTGCTTCCATGTACAACTGTTGGCGCAAGCTACATTAAAGTGATTATTACGTTTTGAATATGGATATTTTTCTTACAAAAACGCATCGATTCGCTACAGGAGGCCTTTGTTCACCCCCCGGAGCCATGTGAGACACTTTTTTTATGGATGGGCGCTTTTTATTCAACTTATTTTGGACTGATGTATGCAATACCCGCTGAGTGGCATTAAACAGCTTGATCAAAGACACTTTTTAATATAGCTCTGACTGGATTTGTCTGAAAGAAGAAAGTCATATACACCTAGGATGACTTGAGGGTGAGTAATTTATGGGCTAATTTTCATTTTTGGGTGAACTAACCCTTTAAGGCTACTTAGGTGAATAATATTTCATGTATATAATTATATTAAAACAGTTTTATGTGGCTGTAAACCAATGAAAATGTTAATTAGGTTTACAAAATTACATTGAAAACATAAATGTATACTAAATACAATACTAAAATGTTCTATTTATATAGCTGAGTTGAAAAAGTCATAAAAAGCATTACTGAACAAAAATATTTCACTGAAATGTAAACTAAATTATAAATAAAAATTTTACTATTTTTCCTCAACTATTGGCTTTAAAAAAGATTACAAACAGTAAAGTTGCAGTTTCTGTTAGTCAACGGACGAATTTATGTAACAAACTTGAAACCGTTTCGAAAATCGCATTGGGAAATTTTCCATCCTGATGGAAAATTACCAGTCGCATAGATTTCTATTAAAATGACTGAATTATGCCCGTGAACATTCGTTAAACCATGGTGAATGTGTCTAGTGATGGGAGAAACAAACCTTTTCTAAGCTTTGAATCGGCTGAATCAATTACTTCGCAAAATGATTTCGAAGCACAAGAAAACCACACTCTAGTGACGCCTGCCTGTCAAAACTATGTAAATGCAACAAAAACTCAAGCCAAAACATGCATAAAACAGCTTTTACAAACCCATTGCAAATGTTTTCTTGAAAGTATAGTAATTTAAATGCAATTCAAATAATAAAATACCTTTAAATATGAAGTGTCTGTATAATATGTGTTTTTTAAATAATTATTATT